GGTTTATACATCCACAAGCCCTCCAGGCATTGTGAAGCAGTCCATCCATTTAAGTTAGATGGACTGAACTTAAACGATGCTTTTCTACCTTCAAATGTCCAAAGAACTTTCAAATTAAAGCTTCAAACAGCCACAAAATACACATTGTTCACCATAAGAGTTAATTGCACTCTGTGCCAACATACAAGCCATACATCCGTTTGAATTACATCACTATGTCAATGTTTTGTTCTGTTCCTCTGATGAGATTCATGCTTGATCTAGCATGCTAACCGCGAAGGAGTCTTATGTAATAGAGTAACAAAAGGCTGCTTCAGCATAACCCTAAGTGGGGCAGAACGGTGACATCTGCACAGCTGTGTGTGGGGCAGGAACAAAGGACAAAACTTGTCCTAATCTGCAGCACAAACAAATAGGCATCACTTTAAAGCCAGCCCCAAAACTATACAATGATCTATGCCTAGCACCGAATAACATGCAGGGTTTGGGCTTCTCAGAAAGTGCAATAAATAAAACAATAATCCTAAGAATTGAAAATAATTTTTCACAATTACAACTTGAGTCTTATGGGGACAAAAATGTGCTGTTTGCCCAATTCTGTTACATGTTTGAGAATTTTATATAAAAAAATTCTTATTTTTATTATTCATCCTATTACATGGTTTATATATTTCATTTTGATACCATCTATTTCCAGTAAACACTAAAAGACTATTTCAATATCAACCTGCTTTGTCATTTAAAATGTTTTGTAAAGTAAAGTTCAACACAATTACAAAGGACAAAAATGTTTGTAATAGAACAATGACGAAGACATGAACTGAAGATCCACTCACATTTTTGTTAACAGGGACTAAAATTCTTTGATTGTGTCCTGTTCTGATCCTTGAAATATGTTTGTAGCCGTACTCAATGATGAACGTTCAGTCACTGAATGCTCCCAAGTGTTCAAATAATTATTTGAACGTATGGAGGAGAATTTGAAATTCTAAAACGGGAGAATCATCATCAGTGCAGACAGAGCATCTGCGTGGCGTTGCATGAGATTAAGAACTGCTACTATTGGGTCATTACTGTGATGTTAGAGTTGCACTTACCTTTAAAGTCTCAGGATAATTTGACATTCCCAAAAAATCTCATGGGAAACTAGGTTCAGCTTTTGATTAAATTATTATCAGATGGCGAAGTTTAAATAATTTAATTTAAAAATTGTTAGTTAAGCGTTGTCCTCCCAACACAGCCAGGTGCATTCATCAACCAGCGAAAGGAGACAACATCCTCTCTGCCTTCATTTTATGATAGGGCCAACATGAGAGGATATGACACAGTGTGAGTTTGAATTCGAGTGTGAGCATCACACCACATTATGAATCATCTCCCTCATTCAGCACCGACAGATTCAGGCTTTCAGCGATCTGCTCTTTTTGCTGCAATGCATTTCCACAGCTGAAGATGCATCCATTATGCTAATGGCTGGCAGGAAACAAAGGAAGATACCAGTGGTGACAACATGAGGCCTGCCTTTTGACAGACTACATTATCTCAGGTCTCACATCTAACATTAATTCTGTGGTCTTCTCCTCTAATACTCGTCACTGCCTTCATCTCTCCGCTGTAGCAGTACTTCCCTGATGCACAACTCACCAGAAAACTGACGAAGCTCGCTCCGAAGCTCATCAAAGGGCTGTGCGTCCTAACAGAGGCGCAGAAATGAGGGAAAATAAGACATAGAAACCAGGGGTTACAAAATGTGGCAGAAAATGTAAACTCAATTACAGGAAAGTATTTTTTGTGTATTTTTTTTTTATCTTTCAGTTACTTTTTGAGGTTTCTTTTCTGTTAGAAGAGATAAAAAACCAGAAGAAAAATGCACAAAAACAGCTGCAGTCTATCATGTAGATACATGATATACTGCAAAGCAAGCTTCAATATGAAAGATTATGAAATAATAATCCTGTTTATGTTTATTTACCAACATCCAAATATGCAAATTAAAACTGACAGAATAACACTTTGTCTGAGACTCTTTGTCAGGGAATCCAACCAAAATCTACAGACAGTGAAATGTAAAACAAAGAGAATACTTTTTCAGATGGATAAACAGCATATTTTTAATGTTCTATCTTAAAACTAACAGTTAAATTGTTGGTCAGCTGTTTTCAGTAACTTCAGCAAGACTTTTAAGTTAATGTCCAGCAGACGTCACAGCATCTTTTCAGAGACTTTGATTATTTCTAATCAATAATCAGTATAAGCTAAATCCTAGCAGTGATTTAGCTCATATTTGGGATCTGAAAAAATTCTATTGAGTACACAGTTATACATTTAAGGTCTGCCTAGTCCAAGTATTAAAAAAAACCCAAAACCACATAAGAAATAATCAAATAAAGGCTAGGTATCTAGCTAGCTAGGTGATAGCTTGCTAGATATTTATCTCCTAGCACGATAGGAGATAAATATCTCCTATCGTATCTCCTATGTTCTAGTATTTTAGTTCTCTTCACTGTGATTTAGCTCATATTTGGGTTCTGGTTTTTTTTATTCAGTATGAATTTATCTGGTTAAGCTCTGGTCTGTCCAAATATTTAAAAAACTGAACCACATAAAAAAGGATCAAATGAAACCCAGCTACCTCAACAAAGTACCACAACGACCATTTAATGCAGGAGCTGTGAGTTAGAATCAGAATTTAACATCATTTCATTGAGCGGATTGTGCAATAACGTAATGAAACCCTCAGGCCAATGCGCCCTGGGCGATCAGCCATATCCTCAATATTAAAGCCCAGGGCTGACCCAAGCTTGTATGGGACTTTAAGCAGAATCTTGATCTGAGGGCTCCTCTTCCTGTTGCAAACATTGTGATCAGTGAGTGCTTTTTAAAACAGATTTGATGGCGTCTGAGAGAAGCAGCCAAAATGGCTGAGAAGATGAATGTCTCAGGTTGTCATTTGCTTCGATGTGTTTGTGTTCAGGAACCATAAAGATTCATCTTGCAGCCTCAGCTTGTAACCATGTTAACAGAACAATCAAACAGTGGATATGTTCTTCACATTTTCACAAAGTAAACTTTGTGATTCTTTTAAATTATTATCATTATTATTATTATTATTATTATTATTATTATTATTATTATTATTATTATTATTATTTAATATCAATCAATTCTGAAAGCATCACTTCAAGCTTAATAGTGTTCTAGAGCTCAATAAAACTTTTATGACTATAAGTGAAAATACTAGCAGTTCTGAGTCCCCTGATGGTCTGAAGCTGCTCAGGTTGCTTATGCCTTGGGCCAGCTCATGTCTCACAACGACACACTTAAAGGAACACACCCACATTTTGTTTCATTTCAAGCGATCATGTTTTCTACAGGACACATTGTTCTCTACCCCCCACACCCCTTCCCCTCATCCCACCTGTTGGTGCAGGACAGAAAGGCTTTACCTGTATCTCTTGAAAAGCTCGTCGCTCTCTTTGAATCCGTTGTTGAGCAGCATGTTGATGCCTTGCAGAGCCATCTCAGCATCATCTATGTGCTCTGCCTTCTCCTCCACCTTCTGCTGCTGCTGCTGCTGCTGCTGGGACTGCTCTGGACCCGCCATCATCTATTCTACAGCGCAGTGGCTGCTGGACTGGACGAGTGCAATGGAAATGGAAACAAAAACAAAAACACGACCTCTCCGAGACAAACTCGCATCGGTTTCTGTCCGCAGATGTGCAGGGACAGCCTTAAACAGGGACGCGCTTCTGGTCGGATGCTTTAAAAAAACACACACACACAAAAAAAAGAAAAGAAAAGCCGCTGCGCGGCTTCCGCAGGATCCAGGAGACTGCGCCCCTCGGAAGGCCTCCGATGCCCGGCCTGAAATCAGACGAGCTCCGGTCGGCCCGGTGCTTCCAGCAGCAGCTGCCCGCTCAGAGGGAACGCTCTCCGCCGCTCGTCACCGCATCCGTCCAGCCGGCCATCCGCGCAGTTCTCCTTCAGCTAATCCCGTCCGCCCGCAAGCATCTGAGGCGTTACATAACGAGGATGCTGCGAGGCTTCGCCACAGCCAGGACCCACGCAGCTGAACGCACCGCTCCCCAGAACGGGCTGGCGTCACAACGCACGGCGGCTCGCCACCTGGGGGGAAGGATGGAGGGAGCGCGCGGCCCGGCCGCGCCCCGGTCCACGTCCTGACGACACAGCCTGCTGGGCCTGATGGGGATTTATGAACACATTGCATCGTGATGCTTACAATGCTTCTCATGAGCATCAGTGTCACTGAATAATGATAGAATGACGTGCAAAGTGTACAGGAAGGAAAGATCAGTGTGAATCTAATTCCTAAAATAATGGACTAAAATATTTTTTTGCCACCAGTATTTATTTATTTATTTTTGCCTAAATTATCTTTTGGCTATAATTTTTTTTTTTTTTTTGAAAAAGTGATTTTTCAGAAAAAAACTTTTTCGATTTTTCTTCATGGTGCCAGATTTCTGCTCTCAAATCGTCCAGAGAATTTTGCCCCAGAATCCTTGTTCACTCTTGTTCAACTGGGCAGACCTGCATCATGCAGTCGGATTGTTTTTTTGTATGTTTGTTTGTTTTTCAAGAGAGAAGAGACTTTATAATGGCAACACTTTTAACATAATCACTCTTTTTGTAACTGTTCCATGAGAAACTTTAACAGTCACCATAACTGAAGGCTGCACAGGGGAAACTACTTAAAACATGAAACCGTAGAGGCCAGAAAGCACAAACATAAAAAATATATATATTTTAACTGAACTCTGTTGAAGACTGAATAACTTTACTTCTTCTTCTTCAAAAAAAAAAAGAAAATAAAAAACTACCATTATGAAATATTATTATCTATCTGTGGGATATTTTTGCACTGTTGTACATGTGATTCAGCATGTTGCACTGGTAAAGAAAACAAACAAGTCAACACACACTTTATCCTTTGCCCCATACAGCAGGAGGCGGTGCCTCCGCTCTGAGCCACTGAAATGCTGGGATTGTATCTGGATCACAACAGAAAAGAGCTCAGAAACTCTTTCTGTGCTCTTTAACTCTCAGTAAGAACAGGCATGGAGCTCGGCTCGGTGGTTGGTGCTGTCAGGAGCAACAGAGTGCTGCTTGGTAATGAAGCGAGACCAGCTGTCATAACAATTAAAGATGGTAAAATCCACCAAATACTTTCTGGCTGCAACTTTACTGAGGATGTTGGCTGTGAGGTAAGCTGGCGGTTGCTCTCCCCTGTCCGTTAGGTTAAAAATGCCTCTGAGGGTTGATTTAACACCACTGGATTTACCGCCTGACGTTGTTGGTGTGACTCCAGGTGCTGGATGTGGGGGACAGCATGGTGATGCCAGGCGTCGTAGACTCCCACGTTCATGTGAACGAGCCGGGCCGCACCTCGTGGGAGGGCTTCTGGACGGCCACCAGGGCCGCCGCGGCGGGAGGAGTGACAACGATTGTGGACATGCCCTTGTAAGTTGAAGAATCCAGGCCACTCGGGCTGGTGCCCAGGGCGGCATCAGGAAGGGGACGCACACCCAACGAGGTCACATTGTAGGCTGCGTTGGTTGATTTGGCCTCTTTGAAAAGGGACAGATTTAACGGAGTAACATGTTAAGATAGCGTTTGGTTACAACCCCTCCAGGAACAGCGTCCCTCCAACCACAACACTCAGAAACTTTGAAGAGAAGCTGCAGGAGGCCACGGGGAAGTGCTTCGTGGACGTAGCTTTCTGGGGAGGAGTCATTCCTGGGAATCAGGTACCAACCAAATGAAATGAAAGAAAAGGAGTGTCCTATGTTTTTTTTGCACCAAAATATGAAAGTATTTTGTCTCCCCACAGCGTGAACTTCGACCTATGATCAAGGCAGGCGTTGCTGGCTTCAAGTGTTTCCTCATCCACAGCGGTGTTGATGAGTTTCCCTATGTGGCTGAATTTGACCTCCATACGGCCATGAAGCAGCTCCAGGGAACAGGAAGCGTCTTGCTGGTGATTTACTGGATTTGGCTCCATGACACACCTCTCGTTAAAGGGGCAGCATGGTGTAAAAATCCACTTGTTTGAGCTTTACGTGATGTAATAATGTTATTCCCTTCCTGTGCAAAATGATTGGAGGGACCTAGCTCCGCCTTCCAGGACAAAACTCCTCCTCAGAGCCCCAGTTTCCAAGCTTCTGTCTCACAGAGAGGCCCTCCACCGCAAATCCCTCACTCAGCTCCTTAAGACTAGCCAGCAACAATTAGCAAACACCTGGTGGCACTGCGCATCAGCTTATGTGAGCGACTTCTCAGTGAAACATTGGTAAAAACATTGCTAAAGGATTAATAGAGGGGTCAAATTGTGATGACTTCCTGAGTTTCAGAAAGAGCAAGCATTTTTAAAGAGACAGAAGCCGAATTTCATGGTGTTAAGTTACAGTCAAATTTCTATTTATAGCATTTTTTAAACAATCAAAGGGAAAATAGTTACTTGATTGTGCTCTAAAATGACACTGTGTGCCTGGAAAATACAAAATACTGCCTCTTTAAGAGACCTTCTGGTGATTGGTGACAAACTTAAAGTCATTTTGTTTTGTCTCTTCCAGTTTCATGCAGAGATGGATGTTCAGCCAACAACGGGGAACAACGCTGATGGTAATCATTTAAAGCACATAAAATTTTTCCCTTTGCCTTTTATCACTGTTAATTTTTGTGCTGAAAAAAAAAGTGAGCTGTTGTCAGGATAAAGACTGAAATGTTTTAGTGCCTTAATTTAGAATAACTTGAGATGCTGATTTTACAAAAACTAAATTATATTCAGACTAGGCTGAATATAGATAATGTGAAAAGTGTATAGAAATATTTGTGGAACTTTCTGTAATTTCAGTGAAATTGTTCATTAAACCTATATTTTATAACTAACCCACCCAGAGTCAGACCCTTGCCAGTATGACACCTTTCTGCAGTCCCGGCCTGATGTCATGGAGGTAGAAGCTATTCGGACCGTTGCAGAACTCTGTCTGCAGTACCGGTGAGAGAAGTTAATGCCAAAAATACTTTGAATTTTTCCACATTTGACCAAAAACTTATGAGAAACACTAATGCAGTAGTAAATGATTCTGATTTGGAAGAAAAATGGTAAGTAAGGATGAAAAAAATAATTTAGCCATCAAAAACTGAAGAAGTCAGACTTTTTTTACCCCGAGGTTGAACATGATGAAGCTTTCCTTCACAGGGACATGAGGGTCAGGCTTTAACATTTGGACGTTCAGTTTGTGGTTCTGCTGGGTGCAATGAATTTGATGATAAACTACATTTGCATTGAATTAAAGTGTAAGGGGTCCAAGGCTATTTTTGCAAGGCTGTGTATATTCCCGTTATGTCAGCACGGCTGGTTTCTCTGTTGAAGATTAGGTAGTTGCTGCAGCAGCAATGACCTTTCTGTGTTTCAGAGTGCGATGCCACATTGTTCACTTATCATCTGCAAAGGCCCTTAAGCTGATCCAGAAAGCTCGGCAAGCTGGCGCTCCCCTAACGGTGGAGACCACCCATCATTACCTCAGCCTGTGTGCAGAAAGCATTCCTGCGGGAGCCACACAGTTTAAGTGCTGCCCTCCCATCCGAGGCTCTGCTAACCAGGTAGACGGACTCATCGTTTTGCAGATCCAAAGGTTATGTTCAATGGACGCAATACAAAGAAACATGATTTGCATAATACTGTCATTGACATTCAGGAGCAGTTGTGGTCTGCGCTGAAAACTGGACAGATTGACATGGTGGTGTCTGACCACTCCCCCTGCACACCCGACCTTAAGAAACTGGAGAGCGGAGACTTCACGCAGGCATGGGGAGGGATTTCATCGTTACAATTTGGTACATTTCTCAACACCGGTGGCAGGTAGTAAAAGGCAAAAACTGTTTTGTAAGGGCTTTATGAAGTCCAGTGGACCCCAGAGTGCTTCACACTACATTCAGTCATTCACCCACACATTCACAGGCTGATGGTGGCGAGCTCCTGGACAGTAGCCACCGACTGCAGGACAAACGCCTTCTACCGAAACTTATGCAATTATTTCACCTTAAATAGCTCACATATCCAAATTTTACATTCGTTTTATATCCAGGGGGAATATCATCAAATTAGATAATCAAATTCAGTAAGTTTGAATGTTAAATTAGAAAAAGATCACATAAATATGACTTATCTCCAAAGAATACTGATTCACAGACACATCGCAGGCCTTAAATCACTGGTACTCCTGTGTTTCACCACAAACACTCTGTTATGGCAGTAAAGTAGTGGAAGGCTGATGATGTAGACTTAATGATAGAAACTAAAGACTACATGTTAATACCAATATCTCACACCCACAATCAACAATGGTGATCTCGCTGTGCAGTCATATTGTCCATGCTCCTTGCGGTCACTTAGTTTACCTAGAACTTTTCTGTCTGCTGAAATATTGCAGAGAAAAACATCAGGCTATCTACCAAACAGCTCCACAGAAACTGTAAATATTACAGAACAGAAAACCCCAAATCCAGCAGCCACTTTATCTGAAATACATGAAAAAAGAGACTCTATGTGTTGCAATAGCCTAGTCAAAGTCCAAACTTTGCCCTTATTGATTTGAAATTGCTAACGGGACTTGAGATTGTTTTTATTTAAAAATGTGAATGAGTAAAAATACAAGGACTTAAACCTATCAGAGCTAATAGAGCTCTTTCCAGTTTAAAATCATAAGTAACTTATTTGTTTTTCTACACGCTGCTTTTGCATTTTGGTAAAGTTTTTTAATTCTTTTTTAGAGTCATAAAGAGATACTTTAATAGATCGTGATTTATTGTTGATCTGTGGTTTTATAAACCCAAATTCCTAAATTGACTTACTTCCTGTCATTAATCGTCAACATTCCTATTTTGGTAGATTAGACCTGCTGTATCCCATCTCCAGATCTTCTTGATTGTGGTTTAAATGAAGCAAATTCAACACCGAACTGGCAAATAAGTTTCAAGCTTCTACCAATCATTTACTTTTTTGTCGCAATGGTCAAAGTCTGGCAGTGGGAGCCAAACAGACGGCCAGTTACAGTGTTTAAAAATTACCATCCCTATTTTTCAGGTTTGCCTCTGTTCTGGACTTCAGCCAGTAAGAGAGACTTTCAGCTGGGTGATGTGGTGAGGCTCCTCAGCAGAAACACGGCCCATCTGAGCAGCCTGGGGAACCTGAAGGGCAGCCTGGCCCCTGGCTTTGATGCCGACTTGGTCATTTGGGATCCAGAGACAGGCTTTCAGGTCAGAGTGAGGTATTCACACTGTAAAGGGGGCAGTATTATATAAAATCAGTTTTTCTTTTAAACTTTACATCATGTTTTAATGTTATTCCATCATCAAAAGCATACGTGAGTGTTGTTTGAATCTTTCGTGCATGTTTGAGAAATCCTTTAACCTCCATGGCAACCATTCAACTGTGCAAAATGCCTGGGTGGACCTAGCCCCGCCTTCAAGGCACAGCTCCTCTTCAGAGCTGCAGGTTCCAAGCTTCTGTCTCACAGAGGAGCCCTCTTCCACTCAGCTCCTACAGACTAGCCAGTAGCATTTAGCAAACACCTAGTAGAACTACGAATCTGTTGAGCTCATTATATGAGCTACTTCTCAGTGCAACACTGGTAAAAATGTTGTTAAAGGGTTAATAGAGGATTCATGTTGCGCTGACTTCCTGAAGGTGAAGTTTCAGAAAGAGCAGAAGATTTTGAAGAGACAGAGGCCCAATTTTACAAAGTCAAATTTCTTCTAAGTCATATTTAGTCATAGCATTTTTTGAACCACTGAAATCAACATAATTACTTGATTGTGCTATGAAATGGCAATAAGTGTGTGGAGAACACATAATACAACCACTTAAAGCTATTGTCAAGGCTGGGTTTGTGCTTCATGTTTGTTTTAAACTTCACAGATCGAAGAAGCAAGTATTCACCACAAAAACAAGGTAACGAAAGTCTGTAAGGAACAATTGAAAAACAAATCGCCACGATTGGCTTGCGGTTTACACGAGTAATTCTGCGCACGCGTGTGTGTGTGTGTATTTGTGCAGATGACCCCATACCTCGGCTCCACGCTGCAGGGAGTGGTGCGTGCGACCGTCCTGAGGGGCCGGCTGGTGTACAGAGATGGCAGCTTCTGCCCTGAACCTCTGGGAAAGCATCTCCTCATCCCCCAGAGGACGGGTCAAGCACAACTGTAGCAAACACAAACAATAAAAACTCAGTCCATTTGGAATATTGGGGATTTAATTGGTCTGACCTTAAATGTGTGTTCTTTTCCTTTTTTGTAAAGAGCACATAGCTTAAAGTTCCCATATGAGCTAATAGCTATTATTTGAAAATTGACTTTAAACAACTTAAGTGTTTAAGCTAAAGTAAAAGAGAATCAACAGTTCAGCTTTTATGTCTGTGGCTAAATATTACTGAGTACAGAGGACAGCCCAGCACCATACATTAGCTTTTGACATCAACAGAAAGCAGAGAGTCTGCTTCGTTGACTTCATGGACTGCTTCTCTTCCCAAACAGCAGAGGGAGAGTACCAATCAGAGGAACTGATTGAAGGAGCTGTATTACTGCAACTTACTATTGGATTTAAAGTGTATATGTTAACATTTTTATGTCTTTCAAGACTGAGAGTCATAGTAAAATCATTTATGGCCTCCCTGTTCTGGAAAAATACTGAATTTGAGGGTGATAACTCTTCCAACTGTTGACATGGTTTTAAGGTATTAAGAACTTTTGCACCTCCTGAAAGCCAGGTGAAAAGAAGACTGCATAAAGGTCAAACGTGTTACAACAAACATTTTACTAAAGTTATTTCAAAACGTGGTGGTTGTTTACTTTTTTCACTATGGTGAAACATGTCGAGCTTGAAGTAAGAAAAAAAAACTGGTTGGGCTGCTAATATGGTGTAAATATAAAACTAGAGTCACGTATGTTGTAGTTTTCAAAAAATAAAAAATAAAAAGAAAAGGCATTTAAAATGAAGAGTACAGGAAATAAACAGTTAATTTTGAAAGGCTGTAAGCCTGGTAGGTAATTATTAACAAACAGCAGCTTGTTTGGTGATGTCCTTATCACTGGAATAGGAAAGTACATGTTGTCAGAGTTGGGTCAGTTGACAGAAGATGAAAAGGGTAAATACTGTGACAGACGTTTGACCCGAGGACTTCACTGGTCAGTGGGAGGGGTGTGTCTGGCTGAGGGAATACTTCACCTCCGTCCCTTACGTCTCTTTCATCTTTTCTGCTCTGCTCGTCTTGCCGTAAAGTCATGTCGCCCGTCTCCATGCCTCCACCACAATGCCTGAAGAAACGAATGGTTGTTCCTCACCGTTACATGTTTGGACCAGGACCTTCCAATGTTCCTCGACGCATTCTGGAAGCCGGAGCCAAGCCGGTTATTGGACACATGCACCCGGAGATATTTGAGGTAAGTCAGCAAGTTTAACTCCCATCATGTTGTCTATGCAGGGGAAGATCAACACACAGCCATGGATTTCAGGATTGCAGGCTACGTAACTCTGTCTATCAAGACTGACAGACAGATGGCTTTCCTGATCCTGAATTTATGAACCACCCCAACTTTTGCTAACCCTCCTTTTTTGACCTTGGATTGTAGGCAATGCGTTTCAGTTGGACCCTCAATGAACAAAGACACAATATTGACATTTCACCTACAGAAGTTTAATTTTAATTGCAGATCATGAGTGACATCAAGAGTGGAATCCAATACCTGTTCCAAACACAGAACAGGACAACTTTTGCCGTGAGTGGCACTGGCCACACTGCAATGGAGTGTGCCATCTTCAACACAGTGGAGTCTGGGGAAAGCGTGCTGGTAGCGGTCAATGGTATCTGGGGAGAGCGGGCAGCCGATATGGGGGAGAGGGTTGGTAAGTCACTGAAAAGCTTCCTGATAGAAATAAAGATATTTTATATTTGCATTGGCAGACATATATCTAAATTTGGAGATAAAGCCTATTGGCTTGGAATATAGTCAGAACCATGCTCTGTTGGTCTGGTACAAACCAGATTCTTACTCTAAGCTTTGCTTTGTAAAAAAAGATTTGGACTCTTGGTTATTAATAAATTATTGTTTGCTGTAGGTGTGGACTGTTAAGTTTTAAATGATTGGATCGGATTTTACCCAATAACTAACGCTTGATGGTAACACAGCTCCTCAAACTGTGAAGGAAGCTACGCTATGAAGCTTACCAGAAACCACATGCACTGTAAACAACCCCATGAGAAGTAGGACCACAACATCTTTGCCAACTATGAAATGTCTTAAACATTTCTTTTGCTCAGACTTTAATAACTCAATATTTGTAGGTGTGGCCAACAAGGACTGAATGACTTTGTTCATTTCCTCCGGTGCTGTTGCCAAACTTCAACCGTAGGGAAACTACAATTTTAAAAAAACGTGTAAAAACTCAAAATCATTGTTCACAACCCCTCCTTCTTTTTGCTGGTTGGCCAGGATGCAATACCTCCTGAGAAATCCAGGTCAATGGGACAAATCCCAGCTGGAGCACTGAAGGGAGATGACAGTCAAGATGGATTGCGTGGGTTTCACTTTGGTTCACACTTTATTACTCCAAACATTTGTTCTTTCTGCTCAAAAAAAAAAAGAAATTGTGGAACAGGTTAAAAACATGTACATATATTTTGGAGTGGATCCAAAAACAGCCTCTATCCAACAGGTGCAAAAGTAAAAACCATTGTGGCGCCCCCTGGTGGCTACTTGACCAATGCAGAGATTGAGAAGGTATTGCCACATATCGCTGTAGTGATCAGACTAAACAAAGCAAACTCTCCTGCTGCTACAACTAATGCAGTTATTGTATGATCTCATCGCAGGCTTTATCAGAACACAGACCGGTTCTGTTCTTCCTCGCGCATGGAGAGTCTTCCACAGGAGTCCTGCATCCTTTAGATGGCATTGGCGACTTGTGCCATAAGTAAGACCTGCTGCTGCAGGATGTTCTCAATGTAGGACATGAGTTGATTTCAGATGTCTGCTGATTTGTTCCCCAGGTATAACTGCCTTTTCCTTGTTGATTCTGTGGCGTCAATAGGAGGCGCTCCTCTCTACATGGACCAGCAAGGTTTAGCGCTCATTATGTCGTCCATGTAGAGCAAATGAACTCTTGAATTAATCTCCTTGGTGTGGCATAATGATCTTTACAGAAAATTAAAGATGCTTTTGCCAATGACTGTATATGCAGGGATCGACATTTTGTATACCGGCTCGCAAAAGGTTCTGAATGCCCCTCCTGGTACAGCACCCATCTCATTCAGCGAGAGAGCGTGGTGAGAATATGTTGTGTTCTGCATATGCAAACGTGCAATGGGAAAACGTGTACTGAAAGGAGGAAAATTGTTCGCAGCCAAAAAGTGTTCAGTCGCACAACAAAACCTGTGTCGTTCTTCTTGGATTTGAGTTGGCTTTCAAACTACTGGGGATGTGATGACAAGCCAGCGAGAATGTAAGACACCTACGATTGAAGGCGACACAAGAGAAAATCCCACTTTGCAAAGTTCTGTCCTCTTTCTGTCTTCTCTGCAGATACCACCACACAGCACCGGTCACCGCCTTGTACTCCCTGAGGGAGAGCCTGGCTGTGCTTGCTGATGAGGTGGGGCATGAGTTGGAAGCAGCTCAGTAATTACTTGTGAATCTTCTGTTATACTTTTTTTTTTTTTAAAGCCAACAATAGGTAAAAAATTTTGCCAGGTTATTAGCACTTTGTCCTGATACAGTTAGGGACAAAGTTCTGTCTCACAGAGTCCCAGGATGAATTTTACAGCACTTTGCCAAAGTACTAACGCTTTATGAATTGATTTATTTACATTTTGTCATTCAGTGGATTTTATTTGGCTTTTATGTCACAAACCAACACACAGCAAGGAACAGTTGTGGAAGGCTAGGAAAAGGATGCAGTGCTTTCAACATTTGTACAAATGCGGTGTGCATTTGAGTTGATGCTTTGTAGCGGCGTCTCCCAAGGCAACTGTGATAGAGTGGTTGTTTTGCAATCTGAAGATCGATTCCAGGTTCTTCCTGCCATGACAGTGTGCTCCTGGGCAAGGCATTTGAACTCAGGTTGTCAGTGGTCAGTGTAGCTATGAAATGTGCATAGTAGTAATTGGAGTGGACCAATTACCATAAACATTGGAAAATGCAGTTACAATGTTATTTGGTGTCCTGAGATACGGTGAGGTGATTATTCTCTTCGGATGAATACTCAGCTGATTCCCATCATCTTTTTAATGGCTTTTCATGTAAGGGTCTGGAGAAATCCTGGGACAGACATCAGAAGGTGGCAGAGTATTTCCACGCTGGCCTGGAGAGCCTGGGTCTCAAACTTTTTGTCAAAGAAAAGGTGAAGCAGAGAAGCTGTCGTAAAACACGTGGCCATTGACGGCTCTGGGTTAACTCATGAACTGTTCGTTACAGCATGCAAGACTTCCCACAGTCACCACAATCGTCGCTCCTCATGGATACGACTGGAAAGAGATCACAGCCTTCATCATGAAAACACACAGCTTAGAGATTTCTGGAGGATTGGGGCCGTCGGTTGGTTTGGTATGAGAAACTGACACGTTCCGTCAAGCGCAGCCTGGTTGTGTTCGTGTGAATTAAGTGTGTTGGTGTTGTTCCCCGTCCTCTCAGGTGTTGCGTGTGGGACTGATGGGATGCAACAGCAGTAAAGCGAATGTTGACATGGTGCTGGCAGCACTAAAAGATGCCCTGAAACACTGCCACCGGAGCAAAGTGTGAGATGATGGCAGCAAGTTTTACTACAGCTCAAAAAATAAAATGTGGAAAATAAATATTGTTCCCTTTATGTGTCTGTATGTGTTGCGATACACTGTCATTTATGCCAGAATTGTTATGTTTGAAACATTGTAATTTCTATTTCTATTTCAAGTAAATTAATAAAAATTTGTTTGCGTTTTAAAAATGTACGGGTGAGGAAATGCTTTTTATTGAAGTTAATCTACATAGCAAATTTTAAAACTTCAACAATGACCAAAATGCCAAAAGAGACATTTGAAAAAAATAAATAAACGACTGCAAATCAATAAACTTTATTTACCGTTATGTGCAATTTATGTGGACCGGTTCATAAAATACAACATGACCAAAAAGACATAAGTCCAATTTGTATTCAGAGTAGAATAAACAGGAAATCCACTACAAACTGAATGACTTAGGTTGACATCAAATAGACTTGTCAAAACAAAATGAAACATGGACAGCACGCCTTCCTTCAATTCGAGAAGTAAGACTGCTTGGATGGGGACCAAAGCAGAATTATATTTGGGGGCCCTACATGCAGTTTAAAACGTCAGCATCACCAACATCGCCATCTTTGTTGCTTTGCACACAGTGTGTTTAACAGAACATGCTTGAGTCAACACAGAATTCCTTAAATTCGCCGGATGACAGAATATGACTTTACAATATCTAAACAAATAAATAAATAAAAGTACTTGAGATAAAGAAGTGTAAACCACTGGGATAACATTTCCTTCTATAGTTCAATTGTCTTTCAGTTATTGATCATTGCGTGAAGTGTGACGTCACAACAAGCACAGTCCGCATAATATTCATAAATCACCACAGGAGCATTGAACTTTGACTATGATACAAGTGAAACTTTTGAGAATTTTCTTTGTTAAATCACTTTTTTGGCGCCCCCTGCAGGCTTCGGGGCCCTATGGCGCGGCTTTAGATACAACTTTAAAAGTATCCGTTTAGCTTAGCTCATCATCCAAAAGAAGCGTCGTCATGTCCAAAGCTTCAGCAACAAAGTCAACCACAGCTCTTAAAGCCCCCCCTCCCCTCCAGGACGGGCCCGTCCATAGACATAATAAAATTCTTCTTTATGTCTATGGACCCCCTCTCCGGACGGTGGCGTAGACGAAAAGGAAAAAGAAAAATGACGTCTTTTCCGGTGTTTGTAAATCGCGGGTTCGCTACAAAAATTAAAGAATGGCGTCTAAAAGAGGTGCTCTCATTGTCCTGGAGGGGGTGGACAGAGCCGGGAAGACGACACAGTGCAAGAAGCTGGTCCAGGCGCTGCAGCAGAGCGGCCGGCCGGCAGAGATGATGAGGTTTCCCGGTGAGCAGTTTTAGCATAGTTAGCCTTCAAAGGTAGCCTTAGCATCTCTCGTCAGGGACGGCGCCTCTCCTCGAGTTTCACGTGAACATGGTTGTGTTTCTGCAGACAGGAGCACAACCATTGGGCAGCTCATCAGCGCCTACCTGGAGAAGAAGAGCGACCTGGAGGACCACACGGTGCACCTCCTGTTCTCTGCGAACCGCTGGGAGCTGGTGTAGGACTTTACTGCGGTGCTCTTCTCCTCAGACCTGCTGTCAATAGTTACAACTAACACAGATAATAAACACCGTGAAGCAGTCGTTTAAACAATAAGCCATTTAAAGGCGGACCGGGTGCTTTCTTTCCTTACTGTCAGGAAAGAAAACGTATCATATCTGCCTCCACACAGTCGATACTGCTGCGATCCAGTAGAGGTCGCCATTTCAACACAGCAACTCCGATATAAACATTGTTAGCTGTACCAACGTCATTGCAAAATTTACTTTGCAATTTACTTTGCACTTAGTTATACTTTGCATAACTAAGTCTTTACTTAGTTATGCAAACTAAGTAAAGTTTGCATAACTTTGCATAACTAAGTCTTGAAATTATAAATTAATCTGTACAGTTTAGAGTTGCAGGCACAACATTTAACACAAATTTTAGACCCAGTATTGCATGTGTCTTTTAAAAGAAACATGTTTGCGTAGTTCCACCACATCTTACTACTGTTGCCATTCTGAATCGTGTTTCCATATGGCCTTACAAGTTGTTCCTGGTGTAGTCAGAGTTGCTCCTAATTTCCCTATAATTTGACTTTGGACAGTGCATTAGTTGGTCCTTGTGTCTGGGAAGTTGGTATTTTCTGGTTTTGACCACAACTAGAACATAACCTACTAGTTTATTATCACACCCAGTTATTCATGGAGAATGCCAGCCAGGCTGCAGGAAATAAGTGATGCATTGTTTGTTTTACGGACCCTGATGGAGAATACAACCCAATTTTATTCCCTGGTCCTTTATTAAAAATTCTGTCCTTTTTTTCCCTCTTTAGTTTATTGCTAATATCATTCCTTCCCTCTCTTTCATTTCTTCTCATTTCTGAAACTTGAGTCTGGAAATTTTTAGATTTTGACATGAAACATGAGAAAGAATCTTACACTTACATTATTCTGTTAAAAAAATAAAAACATTCACTATTAGTTTCTGTTGTGAACTGTTAAGATTTAACATACAGAGGAAAATATTCCTCATGTTTTCTCTGAACTGCACGTATGTGATGAATCTTGCATTGAACACACAGGCCTGTAATGAAGAAGAAGCTGGATCAGGGCATCACGCTGGTGGTGGACCGGTACGCCTTCTCCGGAGTCGCCTTCACCAGCGCCAAGCCGGTCAGTGCTCTCTGAAAACCCGCGTCCGTCTGCTGGCGTTTCCATGTGTCTGAAGAGCAGCGGGGGGTCGTTGTCGTCCGCAGGGCTTCTGCCTGGACTGGTGCAAGCGACCCGACGTGGGCCTGCCCAAACCCGACCTGGTCATGTTCCTGCAGCTGAACCCGGCCGAGGCCGCACTTCGAGGTCAGTTCGGCAACGAACGATACGAAACGAGCGCATTCCAGAGATCGGTGCAGGAGAAGTTTGAGGAGCTCATGAAAGATCCGTCTGTCAACTGGCAGGTATGGAGATCATTCGCTGTTGTTGAATGTGGAGATGAAAAAATAAAAAATTCACATTCTTGCTCTTTTTTTTTTTAGGTCATTGATGCCTCCCAGAACGTCGAAGGAGTTCACGCAGACATCAGAACACACAGCCTCAACGCCATCAACGAAACCCAGAACATGCCTCTAGGGGAGCTGTGGAAGTGAGCCTGAGCCGGTCACAATGAATGATACGACGGCATACAAGGGCCATTGTAGACAAAGTTTTTAAAAAGGAAAAAAAAAAATCTTCAGTTTTCTGTAAAATAAAGTCTAAAATTTGATTTGGCTCAAAAACTTTCTAGAAATGTCAAAAGTGGAAAATATTTCCACTTTAGAAACTCAGAACATTTCCAAACCAGGAAAATGTTTGACTGTTTCCAATTGTTTTCTAGAAATTAGATTTTTGTTTTTTACTTTTTCCAACTCAGAAATTGTGAAGTTTCTGAGTTTTTAATTATTTTTTTTTACTATCTACATCGACCATAATATGCCATCTTATAATAACTTCTTTGCACACCGCACACTTTCCCTCTTTCAACATGAGATGTAATATAAATTTTTCTTATGGAGCCAGAAAGAGATAAACAGTTGTGATTTATTTTTAGTCCTCTTACATGTCTCTTGCTCCATCACTTGCCTGCATGTTGTTTTGATTAAATAAATAATTTTCAAACAAACTAGCGTATGCTCTAGACTTGGCAAGGATCCGTTTGCGTCAGCTGCTAACACAAGTCGCCTTTCTGAATTTGGTTTCGTTACAAGCTTGTTACAGACTTCTGATATTAGTGGACAAACTGCGGAAGCCGTAGGCGTCATGAGCCACTGTGGGTCTACTCCACAAAACCATGATGGCTGCTTTTTTTTCTTTTTCTTTTTTAACTTAGGGACTCAGGGAAAGGCACCAGATTCACTTCAGCATAAACATCAAAAGTGTTAAGACTCGAATGGAAACACACGTATGTGAGAGATGTGCGTACAGAATTGATCCTGAGCTCCTGCTACAGCTGCCACCGGGCCGTCTGGATGTCCGGAGGCTGATGAGAAGGAACGCTGCGTCGACTGCCCACGGACCGCGCCACTGGAGCTGGACCAGCTCAACGGGTCTCTTAAGAAATGTTCGTCTCCCTCCCTAACCCACCCCATGCCCGCCTCCCCTCGGGGATTTCTCTTCTGGATCCAGAGAAGAGACCGGAATCTTCCGCCTACTGTTCATAACAGTAAAATAATTGTTCGTTGCGTTCCTCACAGGGACAAGATTTCAAACTCCTCGTCCTCCGAATCGAAGAACCGCTCCAGCCTGTCCGAGTCCGAGAAATCTGTGACAGGGATTTCAGAAAAGAGTGAAACACTTAACTTACGGTATTTTAAAAATGTATATATATAAATACATACATACATGAATAGAATGCAGTTGACTTACCAGGAGTAAGGTTAAGGGTGTCGACGCTGACCATGTGGACAGGCTGGCTGTCTACTAATTCAAACATGGGCAGGCCTCCTTTCTTGCAGGACAACTGGAAGCAATGTCACACAGATGCATCTCAATAAACGACAAAAATCTGAAAAGTTTGTTTGGGTGAAGGATATAAGTAATAATCTTAAGGTTTTCATTTCATTTTGATATTACGCCAGAGTGATAATAATAATAATAATAAAAGAAAAGGGATTTTAAAACCAAAATGTTTGCCTTCTGAAAAGCACATCCATATCTTTGAAGGTCATAAAAAGCACAACGCAAGTTTGATTCACAATTCTGAAAACTGGGACCTGACACTTTTGTCCCCGCTGCTACAAAATAAAAGTAGGACCGTAACGCACCGTTTTCTAAATATGTATTACATAAAATGTTTTATCGTGAAAGCTAAAAAATGTAACTATAAAAGTGTAACCAATTTATTTATATTTTCATATTTTAGAACATAACTAATGCGCAACTACAAAAGAAAAAAAAAACACTGTTTCTAGAAGTATGGAAAATGAACAATGGATAGGCCTGTGTGAAGTTAATTACTTTTTAAAAACATGCTGAGATTTTACATAAGCACTAACAGAGAAAGAAAAATGACAATTTCTTGTTTCATTCATAATCAAACGTTTCCTGTTTGGACCTTTTAAGAGCCACAGAATGATGAATTTGGGGTTTTATTTGCTTTATCCTAAGGTTATCAGCATTAGCAGAAATAAACACTTAACAGATCACTGTCTAATAAGTGGACGTTTTCATTTCTTAATTGAATTAAGTCTCTGGGTGTCTTTAAGACTAAGTTGACTACAGTAAGTTTAAGAAAATATGACCCAAAATCTTGCTTTATGAAACAGCAGAATGAGACGTACCCTGCGTATGCGCATACACCAGTCGTCGAAATCATCCTCCGTTTTGCAGAAGAAACCCTAACAAAACAAAACAAGCAAAACTTGTGAGTTCCACTCCACACGGAGAGTCTCCTCATGGCTGAAGATGCTAACGCTCCCCATGCGGTCTCACCGCCGCGATGGACGGGTCCAGCTCACAGATGTGCATGCGGCAGGGCGGGTGCTGACAGTGGTACGTGTCATCAGGGACCTGGCCGTCTTCGCGCGGCTCCACGGCAGGCTGCGTGGTGTGTGGGTCTAAATAGATGAGCTCCTGACCTGGAGACAAAGAGACGAGTTCACAACCAAAATGGCCTCTTGAGAAACGGTTTCGAAAAGAAGAAAAAAGTCAAATAAAATGTGATGAGTACGAGCTGCTTTTTATTATTATTTTTACAGCTGAGAGAGTTTATTGAACAAACATGAGATCAGACATACCGACATAACCAATGAAGTAATGGGCACTGTTGGGTTTCCCCCCAATAACACCCAGCGACTGAGGCAGCATGAAGCATTGCTGTGAAGAAGACAACAGGGTTGGTCTCACCCCGACTATAGGTGAATTTACCTCAGTGTTTCGCATTGCAGTTTTTAAGGAGACTGGAATTCAAAAATCTGAAAGAGTTTCACTCATTTACTAGCTAGAACAATATATATTCAAGCTATGTGAATACTTTTTAGGGCAAGAACCTTATTCAGGCAGTTTATTATAAACATGTGAGTGATTGACAGCGCTAAGACCCGCCTCCTAGCTCTGATTGGTTGTTTCTAGTTAGCACTGGGAGAAGACGAAGGAGCTTGATCTTTTCATAGATTATTTCTGATAGCATACTGCTACAAAATGGTGACAGTTTCAACAAATATGTAAAATGAGTTACATGGTACAGCTTGAATTAAAATAAACAATAAATCTGAAAACAAAATTAAATTCAAATTTAAGAGCTTGTTTCAAAAATCACCTGCGTATTTTTTTTTTGTCCTGCAACACCTGTAATATAACGGGGAGGACACCTCCTGGCTGTGGAGGTTTCTGACCTTGAGCGTTTCGATGTAGGCCTCATTGATATCACTCAGGCCCAGCCTGAGAGGAATGAGCAGGACCAGCGGCCTCCACAGAGCCGTCTCCTCCTCGGCCAGGGCGCACGCTCCCTCCAGGCAGCCGTTCACCTCCCCCTCTCCTGCTGCTTCACCTGCTTGGTCCAGCCACGGCATGCAAAGACGCTCTGCAGGGAGGACGACAGGAAAAAAGACAGAATTCCTCAAATGACATGAAGCCTAATTCTCAACTCAGAATTAGGCTTGGAGATCGCCGAGTGTGTTATGAACGGCAAAGTCAGATTTGGTGTAAACGCATCATTTTCATTGCATTTAGAAGTTTTACTCTCTATTAAATACATCCCGAACTGGCTGCCGTTCTGTGTAAACAATTTGAGCAAAGTCCATCGTATTCAAACTGGAGTGCTATTTAAAGAGCCTCCGCTGACGAAACACTGAGCTGCAAAACACACGCGCACACACAGCTGCACTCACTGATCTCCTCGATGATCACAGTGTTGTCCATCGCCACGTGCACAACTAATCTGCTCCACGTATCAAACACAGCCAGCTTCCTGAAAGAAAAACCCCACAAATTATAGTTTCTATCCCGAACGGAACAGAAACTTTGAGCTTCCATTTAACATTGTTGTTCAGTCATTCTGTGGCTTCCTGTGTTTTATTCTTGCACTTGAGCTTAGGAATAAAATAAAGAAAGACATATGACATTCTGTAAGAGTGAAGTGAAAATCGCATGTCTTTTAAGCAAAGGTGCAATTTGTGCAAACTGCATAAATTTACATAAATTTAAGCAACTGACTAAGAGATATTATCAGATTTTTTCTTAAGTTAAAGAGATTATGGTTTAACTCCTTTTAACTTACGTTACTTCGTATAGGTTGGCGAGAGAAGGGAGCCAGTGGCGGAGACAAACGTTGTCCAGGCAATCAACGATAAAATTATGTTTACCCATAATTTTACACAAAAAAACAAGCTAGCTAGCCAACAGGGGTATATTAGCAGCTGGTTAGTTGCAGAACCAGGCCTGCTGCAAAACAAATTTTCCTGGATGATAAACAGTTCCAGAAATTATTGTCAGAAACAATAATGTTTTTGTCTTAAAACCACTTTCAAATAATAAAATGTTAATACAAGTCCAGCCTTTCAACAACTAAAAAGTTAAATTTGTACAGAACTCTGCACACTGGAACTGGAAGACATTTAAAAGATCTTTAGTAAAATACAACAATAAAATAAATAAAAAATAAACAAAAATACATACAAAAAGACATTAATAACTCCGATTATGAAGCCTTTGTAAACAAAATTGCACCTAAAAAAACTATTAATCGTCAGTATTGCGACAGGCTTACGTAGAACAGTAAGGGAGTCTGCACACAAAACTTTTGCCTGACAGAAAAGTCATACAAGCAAAAAAAAAAACCCCAAAAAAAACATGAAACGAAAAAAGACATCAAATATATGAGATTTAATAGTCATGCCATGACAAAATTAAAGACCTGTGATTGACATATAGAAGGGCAACTTACTTCTTGTTTTTAAAACGAATGTAAGACACTTTAAAGACTTAATTGTAGATGTATGAATCTAGCACCTTTTAAGAACCCCATGATAAAGATAGGTATCAGTACTCACTTCAGAACCTGGGCGACCGTGTTAGGCCCATACCACTGTCCAATAGGCTTCCCCTCTCCGACACCCATCTGGGCTGCAGCATTCAGGAACAAGAACACAATTTGATGAGCGCATTGTTGATCTGGTCAGAGGCGTCCGACTATTGCTACTCACCGATTTGATGGATGGAATAATAGCTGTCTTTTTTGTCGATGAAGGCGTTGAGAATACTGATGTACTCTTCTCTTTGTTTCTGCTCTCTGGCCCAAATCCAGTCTGAAAACAAACACACCAGTTATCACGTCGGCCCCCCAGCAAGCCCTGCTTGGTACAGTCTTACCAGTTTATTATTTATTTTACGTTATATCTGAACTTAAAACGTCACATAATGAATCATATGAAAGACACTTCGTTGCAGTTTATTTTTACACGCTTGATCAAGAGAGTCAAGCTGTTGTTTTTGTTGTTCAGTTTATCATTATTTTACATCGGCTTTTATGCTCATAATTGCACATGAATTGCAAATTAAAGTTGTTTTTGCATGTTTGACCAAGCTTGTGTAGCTATTGGTGCATTTGAAAGTGCCGTACTGGTGCAGTTATCACATTACATTTTATGTTTTCCAAAAAAAAAAAAAAAAAAAAAGAAAAAACATTTTTCATCAAGTCAGCACTGTTCTTCTGTATTTTATCGGTTTTGCCTTATACTGAACATCAGATATCGGTATCAGTGCATCCCTGCGCAACATTAAACTCTGCGTCCTACTTTGCTGCGTGACAATTGTGCCTCACCTCTGCCTAAGTGCCTGCACATCAAGGCCTCTCCGAGAATCATCTGGCCGCACCGCAACATACATCCCCATCCCGTGTCCGACGTTGGCCCGGTCCCTCCTGGAACACAATCGCCCTCTAATGGTCAGTAGAAGCATAACAGAGACGAGGTGGAGTTCAACATTCAGCCAACTCACCGATGGGCGGGAAGTTTTTTCTGTACGTGAACCACAGCCGAGACGTGATGTCGGACAGAATCTCGTCTTTCTCTAGATTCGAAAAAACAGTAAAAAATACACACTTGCTGGTCTGATTTCAGTGACAGAAAATGATAGGAGGAGAAAACCATGGAAAGAGATCCACCTGTAAGTGCATTGTATTCTTTCCCCAAGATCCACACGGGCTCCGAGGTCTCAGGAAAATCTTCAAACTCTCCAAAGCGAAGTGTGTCGTATGTCAATGTGGCTACAAACAAACAAGCATACAAAAAAGAAGAAGGTTATAATGACACTGTTAATGTGCTGTGCATTATGCTGCTGGATGATATGAGACAGGAAGTTAAATGGTGTGTCCATTAGCTTGCCTGATCAGAACCCTGGTAACTTCCACGATGTTTGTTTTTACACAGGAAGCTTTAAGTTAAAAAAACCCAAACATCTACAACTTTGAATTAATACGGCTTACATTAAATACGCAGCAACAAGCCAGGATGCAGTCTACTTTCAGACTCTCGCAATTAATTTCAAATTGAAAAAATGTCAGAGTCTGAAGTCAAACTCGGTTCTGTTTATTGATTTAGCTCCACTTCGCTGATCCAACCGAGAGAGTAAATTCATTAATAAGGCTTCGCAATTCATGTTCCCATCAATATTAATGACGACAAATATGGATAGTACATTTAAAATTAGCCTGAAGGTCAAAAGCAAACAACAACAGATAAAAATAACGTACAAGTTGAAAACATGTCCTCTGAGTCAGAGGACATGTCTCAGAGGACTCAGAGGACATGTCTATCATTATCTGTGTCTGCAGACTTGTCACAACTTGCAGTGGGGCGAAAAGTCAAAGTTGACTTCGAATTGGTAGGTCTTAAAAGCTACCAACTCGAAGTCTCTTTAAAGTCAAACTGGATTTAGTTTTCATCACCTTTTAAACATATAAAAAAGTAATCACCAAACAGGCTCATGATGAGCCAACAAAGTCATGTCCACCAGGCAGTACAGCCTACAGCAAGGTACATTATACTGTATTATTTATTGTGAATCAGCTCATTTCAAGCAGAATCAGGCTCAAATACGGAAACCAAGTGAATGAAGCAGGAAATCAAATGACCTCTGAAATGGATCATGGGGGGAAACTCTGGCTTAAACATGTCAGGAGTGATTCTAAGGCAACCTTAATGCTTTAAAATCGATGTTGTAAACTATCGAAACCTGCTTATCTGACACAAAGCTTATTGCTGCCTTTGTGTGATGTCATCAAACTGAAAACAGAGCAGAATGGTCTGGATTCTCCAGCAGGCTGAAAAAAAAAACCCCTGTGTATTTCATGAAACCACAGAGGAAAACCACAGCTCATCAAATCAACCGCATTTTTTAAATGTCAGTGTACATTAATGAGTCCAAACCAGCCGTCACTGAACAGCATCTGTAAAGATGATCCTACGTTTGGTAGCACAGTCTGTTAAAAAGAAATCATCGCTGTTGACTTGGAGCTGAACTCCCATAAAGTTTTGAAGGTTTTCTGCTGGTAAAGATTGCGACATGGAGGTAAAGCAGCTCTATCTATCGGTGGGAGATCCGAGGCAATCAGCGGTCACAAGAGGAGGAAATGAAGCTAGGAGTCAGACTAGCCTTCAGCGTTTTTCCTGCTAATTGTAACAAAATACCTGCTGAGATGTTGGCGCATCAACTGAGATGCTCGCCTTGGGCGTAACACGGTGTCTACGTAAGCGGCCAAACAAAAGAAAGTAGAGAAACTTATTAAGCAGAAAACTTTGCAGCAACACATGACACTGCTACAGGTGACAACAAGGCGTCGTGACTTGAGTTTATAAAGCGACGCAGCGAGCTGTCAACGCGAAGATTTACAGCTAATTTACCAGTGATAGTAGGCTAACGTGAGTTAGCTTTAGTCATCACTTTAGCTGGCTAACGTCACCGAGGCTACAAAGCTCGGCTAGCTTTCTCCAGTAATGACGAGGCAAAAAGAGAAATATATCCATGTATGGGATGATAATATCGAGAGTACTTCTACTGCTAATACGGGCTGTTAGTGAAAGAAAAATAACACTAATTTTCTAAAAAATATTGCCTACCTGCATCCATCCCGACGGTCTTCACCCTATCTTGTTTGTTGTTCTCTGCACTCAGACCCGCTGGACCAATGGGAGGAAAGTACCACTGCGGAATTCCAAAGGAGGCGGGACTTTTCCCCCAGCATCCAATAAAAACCGTCAAAGACAAATCAGCGTTCTCTGCAGAACACAATGGGGCGTTTAGGGGGTTTGAGGGGGGATGGGGGGCAGAAGAAGTGGGCGAACGCCCTCTAACGGTCTGTATGTGTAAATTCAGTCACGGACGCAATTGTGAAGTAACGCAGAAGTTATTCCTGCGTCATCTGAATGTTGTAACAGAAGCCCTCTTTGTGGGAGTCAAGCTGACGACATTTTCGTCCACAAAGAGTTATTTTATCGGTCGTTTTCCTTACCAATGCTTTTACATGATTAGAAAAGAATAATTTAATTGAATTTTGAGTTGCAGGGAATTAGGATGTCTGTTGGTCTACAACCCATTGAATCATAATTAAATTGTGAAGACATTTGTTTTTAGAACAACAAACGCCTCAGAATTTTTTCTCTTTTTTTCCCTGTATAGCTTTAAAGCGCTCACGCTTATTCTTAAGAGAAATTTAGAGACAAATTAACATTTGGCGCATATTTTTGGCCTGAAGAGGGAAGCCGGAGTACCAGGAGAGAACCCGCCCAGGGAGGAGAACCTGCAAACTCAATGCAGAAAATCTCCAAGTTGAGATTCATACCCTGATGGCAATAACAACCTTGCTGCTGTGTTGCCCAGTGGAGTAGAGCCATAGTTAATTTGAAAATAAAGCTTTTAGCAAAGGCAGTTAAAATAACTGAACCAAATAATGACAAACACTGTAAAAAAATAAAGAAAGAAAGAAACTGCATATTTCTCATATTAAACGAAATATTTCATGGTTTAGGTCAGTTTCCATTCCCAAAATATGTTCCATTCTCTTAATGGCAGAATATGCACTGAAATTACCATAAGCAAAAACAGAAAGACCAAATGATGCAATGACTTTGTAAGCTTCTGATAGGCCAATTAGAGAAACACCTGTGGCTGGGCCACAGATACCTCGAACTCACTGAAAAATCTTAAAAACTCTGGATCTCTGCAAGTCTGGTTCAGCCTGAGCTGCACTTCCTAGACAATGTGGGTGAAACAACTATCTACAAGCAAAAATGTCATTAGAATATCCAAATATTGTAATAATATGGAAGGAGATGAGCCTTCGATGAGCCTGATCTTGTCTAAAATTTATGCGTCACCCACAGATCTGAAGCTAAAAACAGCTTCTGAAGATAAATGAAGTTAATTGGTTACTGTATCTTTAAAATAGAGCAAACTGATCAGAAGAAAATGGCTGTGTGGAGTAAACATCGTAAAATAAGTATTAATGCAAGATTGTAGTTACTTTTGCATAGTGAAGAGTAAGAAAAATCTAAAACATCCTCATTTCTACATTAAACTGCAAAGAAAAAAAAAAAGAATCACGTGCAACAAATGTAAAATCAAATTTTTTACCATTTATTACTATTTACAGTTCTGGCAAACATTTATTTAATAGGTTGCTTAACGCTACACACAGCAGTGAAGTTATTCATGGAATAAAATCAATATACAAACTGCATGAGTATCATCACTTAACAGCTCCTTATACAGTGCAGCAACAATAGTGGTAACCATAGAGACGGAGGGAAACTTGCCCGGAAACACCTAACCAGGAACTCGTCCTTAATGTTTCTTAAAGAGCTTCTTTGTTATTTATTTATTTGTTTATTTTAAACTGAAAAGCAGCAGAAAAATAAGAGTCATGAGAAAGCAATGTCAAATTTTCCATGTGAATCAGAGCGTCGCAAAAAGTATTTAACCTCTTTGGATTTTCTCACATCTGCAAACCTTATGGTATTTTACTGGGATCATAAGTGGTAGACAAACCCAACGTTGTTCATGTTTTTGAAATGGAAGGAAATTTACGCATGCTTTATTAACAAAAAAAAAAAAAAAAAGTGTTTTGCATTTGTATTCCACCCACTTTTCAAATTCAATCAGCTGCCTTCAAATTTCACCCAATTAGCAAATAGAGTCCACCTTTGTGTGTAATTTAATCTCAGCATAAACTGAGCTGAAGGCCTCTGATCGAGAGCAACAGTGGAAAAGTATTGAGGAAAACAGCGGTCATGAACGATATCTGGTTTTGGTCTTTCCCCTAAAATTGAAGTAAAATAAGTTACACTGCGTGGTTGTGACATAAAAAAAAATGTGACTCTAAACAGGTTTGAATACTTTTGCAAGGCACTCTTCAGTTTACCCTTGTACGTCATGGCAAAACACATTTTTGAACTGCTTTCCCTCGAATCATTTCAATGTTTTGAACTTTAACCTCTCTAATAATTTCCTCCACACTCTTGTTCAAATAATCGGCCGAGCCTGAAGAGCAAAACTGCCTATTTGTGTTATGAGTACCACCACGATCAGATGTGGTGATCTGTGTTCAACTTAGAATCTCATGAAAAAGTCTTGGTTATTCATTGACGTGAGAAGCATTTACCCTTAATCACCACAAGGTGGCATGCAAGTCCCCCATAAAGGAATACATACAGTGCAGCAGCTTGAGAACAAAAACAAACTTTTTTTTTTCTAAAACAAGAAAGAAAAAAAAAAAATCCCAAAGTGTGATTGTGTAAACTCAATTTAAAAAGCGTGCCCTGACACAAGCAGCGCCAACAATAAATAGACAGGAGATTAGCGGCCCGTCCACCGAGGCTCAGTGCAAAACAGTGTAAACGTTGGCCCCACACGGCGGAGGCTCTCGTGGCGCCGGCGGAGTCTTTCACTTCTCTCTGAGGAGGTACAACACCACGGCCTTCAGGTGATGCCCGAACGCAAAGGCAGCAGACACCAGCCAGTGGGAGTACAGGGTGGGGCCGGTGTTCACCACGCACTTCGTGATGTCCGCCTGTAGGGAGACGGAGATCTTAAGAGACGTTTTGGAGGGAGACGTGGACAGAGGCAGGCGGCACAGACACGATTCACATCAAACATCAGCGAGGAGGATCAGCCAGCTCTGTCAGGATGAAAATAACTTAGAACTTTATGCAGCTCAACGAACAGGACACTGACTTCAAGCACAATCGTCAAACTCTGGCTGCTCATAACGCTTTGGCAAACTAGTCACCCAACATTAGAACCATAATCTTCAGTTTGTTTACTGGAAATTTGCATGTTAGAAACATAACGAGCTTTTTCATGTCATGTCCTTCCACCCCCTGACCTCTGACCTAACTTGCAATACCTTCATGCGATGCTAAAAAGAAATGCAAACAAGAAACATCAAGTGTTTTCACTTAGCATAAGCGCTGCCTCACATTGTCTGATTTCAGATGCCTATGAGTTCGGTGGCGAAAAATTGTATCGTCAGATAATATCTTATGACTTTACGACTAGAAAATACAACTTTTCACCACAATCCCCTCTTTTTATTATCAGGAAAAATGTAATATTTTATATTGACATCAATTTTTTATTTATTCCCACGGTGTTTATGGCTATGGAGCTGATGTTCGGTTTCGAAGGTCTTCGTCTTGTCAGAAACTTTTCCATTCTCGCAGGCTGGAGGTGCAAAGCGGCTTGATGAATTTGACTGGCAGCCAACCAGAAAACGAGCATCAGAAACAGCATTGAGGTCCATCATTTCAAATGAGATTTTATGAAAAAGAAAGACTGACAAACAAAACAGAAATTATGATGAAAAATGCAGGATTAAAAAGAAATGATGGGATTCAGGTTTTTTATTATTATTTTTGCATTAATCCCTCCAACTTCCTGAAGCCACCACAGCGCCCCCTGGCGGCCACCACTTTGAAAAGGGTAATGATGCAGTTTGTTCTCCAATGATCTCTTACAAAACTCTGAGGCGACAAGTGTGGGCCACATTCCACACTTTACTCTCTTTTTTTTTAAACAAATTTTCAGTAATGCTCTTCCTAATGTTGGTCTGTCACTTAAAATCTCAATAAAGTACCATGAGGCTTTTGCCTTGTGACAAAATGTGGAAAAAGTTAAATGCTAACAACTGCTCTATCAAGGCAGCTTACATAACCAGCTTGACAGAGAGCGACATACCGCAGGCAGCACGGCGCAGCATCAGCCCTGACACTAAACACGTCTCCATCCTCAGATCCCCCTCCGCCTCTCTGTGGAAAAACTTTCTGGGTCTGGTTTGGCGCTTCGCTCAAAAATAGGTCGCTCCCTCTTTTTGAGCTTGTGAGGTCAGAGGCACAATACGCCGCTCATCATTTTGTCACACTCCACTTCTCCTCAAAACACCGCAGGCATGCGAGCCGTGGCTCTGAGCAAACAGCCGCCTTTCCAGCCAACGCAGACAGAGGCACGTCGCTGGTCGCTCTTCGCACAACGTGTCTGACTCTGTTGCGAGAACACTGAAATGCACTGGACTATCCCCTCTACACTGTTTATCTACACTTTCCCCTGATTCAAGACTTACGATGCAAAAGCCAGGATTTATATTTATGTCTTTCATTTCCTCTGCAAGCCGCAGTTTAAACATCCATAGTTTTCGATCGATCAGCTGCAGGTGTTAGCTCATATCGACGAGAATACCCAGAAGCAGCTGTGCAAAGAGGAAGTTTGAGGCAGAATCAGCGTGAATGGTTCCAGATGGAAACACTGAAACAGAATGGAACCTGCAAAACAAAGCTGCTGGTGGTTCAGGACATCCTGGAGATCAGAGTATTGCATCAAATAGAAATTGCTCAACGCTTGCAACAGGTGGGTGGGAGTGCAACTGCAAGCACTTTGAGGTGTAGACCTTTTGGAGAATGGCTTTGTAGCAAAAGACCAGCAAAGAAATTGCTTCTTTCCCAATACAGACATGAAAGGACAAACAGTTCTAGCAAAGTGGTGCAAAGTTATCTGGTGCAAAAAAGAAAACAGTCAGCAATAAGCTTTAAAGAAGGAGATGCTTTCTTTTTTTTTAAACTCAGAAATCAGTGTTGGCAGATCGAAGCTTTACCAAATTGTGATCGGTGCGTCTCTTAAAATGGTTGAGGGTTTTCCTTACCCAGCCTCCTCTTTTCTTCAACCAGGGGTCAAACTCTTGCGGACAAACTCCCCCATGCAGTCCACGATGGTGTGAACCATGGCTGGATGACCATGACGCACACAGTCCACTGCCAGGGCTCCCGCCACGGCGTACAAGGAGACCACCTTCCCCCACGTCACTCCTGAGTCACACACACATAGGAGTTAGAGCTCAGAGCAAACTGCAATGAATTATCCCTTGACGGTCCACATTCTAATGTGCAAACATGTTGAGCAATGGCGACCATTTAAGGTTGGAAACCGAACCACGACGTAACAGCTTGAGGGTTCTGGTGAAAGCTACGAGGAGACGGATGGGGGTCTTTTTGCGGTTTTCCAGCTGTGGTACATGCAGACAGAAAGTCTCGCTACATTAGAGAGCAGATCCTTTTACCAGAGCGGCGTTCCTGTCAAAATGCCACCACGCCATTTACAGTCAAAGCTTCAGACTATTTCTGTGGTGTTTATATATCCAAGACAACCAAGCGGAGCCGAAGCTCTTTCCACAGTCTGTCCCTGCCGTCTCTAGAAGCTCCTAAAAGCAGATTGAGTTTCTCTTTATTGCTGGGATCTGGACTTTAACACTGGACTTCAACTCTGCAGAGTTGGATTTTAATTTTCTTTCAAGCCAACAGATGACGAGAGAGGTCCAAGTGAAGCATAAGGTCTTATTTAACGTGACAAGTCACATTTATATTTCATAAGATCTTTTTTTTCTTCTTTCCTTTCGCAACACATTTTTTGTGTGTGTTTGCTGACTTTTACTGAAGTGCTTGTTTTCTACACGACTTTATCTGTTCCTCACATCTTTGTGGGACAATTTTGACCTGAACTTCCTTTAAATGTTGCTTCACTTTATTGAGGTTTGTGGGTATTTCTTCCTGCACAGCTCTCTTAAGTTCTCAGTACAACATTATTGTTCATTAGCTGCTGTGTTTAGGATTATTATCATTCTGCTGGAGGACACAGTTTAGGCCAAGCTTTAGCTAAAATTCAAACGACCTCACATTTGACTCTAGAAAACCTTGAAGGGAATCGTCAACTCACTTGTAAAGGTGCATAGATCCCGCGGCTGCGAGGCAAGCTGCCTTGCTCTGTAGCTCGGTTTGAGTTGTCTGTAACAAAACTGCATTCTGGTTTTTGCACTGGGGCAAAATGTCTCCATACTGTCAAAACGGCCCAAGTTACGGTTTGCGTTCATCCCAGAAAGAAAAGAACTTCTCTGACATTACTGCCGACGTCTTTCCTGCTTGGCTTTTGAGCAATTTCTGGGTTTAAAAGGAGTTTGTATGATGCATGAAAATGTGGATTGGATTATTCTGCACCAGGGGTGTCCAAACCTTTTGCAACACAGGCCAAAAGCATCAACTCAAGAGTACTTGTGTGCTAAGAAAACAAAACAAAACAAAAAAAGTTTAAACTTTATCACAAAAGTTTGGAGAATCTGTTTCCTGCCCAACAATAAACATAAAATATGAACAAATAAAGGCATTTTCTGCAGGAAAGGAAAATGTAAATACAACCAAAACATCAAAAGCTTTTCACGTTTTCCTTGTTTAAAGGAAGTCGACCAGTTTGCTTCTTTACTTCACACTCCATTGAAGAAAACTGGAAAAGTTCATCTGTAAAACATGATTCCTCAGATAGACACTAACAGTTTTACTCTGCATTCTAGTTGTACTTGGAACTGGGAAACTCCGACTGGGAATTCAGAAAAAAAAAATCGACTGGAGCTGCGAGCAACTCCAGCTGCTTGTAAGATGGACTTCATGTTCCAATATGGCCGCTCCTAGCATCAGTGGCATTAAGCTTTGGTGGAAACACGTTTATTTTACGAGATGCATTTGTAAGAGTGCATTTAAAAATCAATTCCATTTATTTATTTATTTCATTAATTCCCTTGAAAATGGCTTTTTAGGATCCAATCATCGAGGGAGGACGCGTACAGCGGCGCTGATATGTTTGAGTCAAGCTCACAGCAGACAGACAGGAAGTAAGGGGGAGCGACTTGGCAAGTTTCCTGAAGGATTCCCCCCCTCGCCCCTCGCAGATAGTCTGTTTTTATCTCTGCTCAACAAATAAGCGCAGCGTGACGTTTGAGACCAAACTCTCGCGGATGAGGCATTTGCGGTCGTGATCTCCAGCTGCTCAGGACTTCCTCTCGACACAATGACTCGTCTGAACCCGTCTGCTGCACGTTTACTGAGTGTTTATGGAAGGACTGGGCCTTCAGTTATGCACCGAATTGAATTTGACCATCACTTATCCTAACAATGCCGGTGTGTCAGGCCCGGAGTCCTGCAGCTTTTAGATGTGCCTCTGCTGCACCAAACCTGAATACAATACTTTCATTCCAGTGTTTTGTGCATGTGGCACATCTACAAAGTGCAGGAACTCGGCCCTTGAGGACTGGAGGTTGACACCTGTGCATTAGAGCGTTCTTGAATAAATACAGCTAATCTCAAATTGGACTCACTGAAAATGGGCCAGACTAACCTGATCCAGTCCAGATAGACTCTGAGCCACCTTTTCAGCTCATCTCTTTGTTTTATCCCTGGAGGAAAAGAAGCCAGCTGGGACTCAGGCCTGAGCTTGTTGGGTGGGGTCCAAACTATCTGCAACAATTGCAGCGTTTTACCCTAATATGGGCCGAAGGTTTTCCACTGAAATTCCTTTCCTGGCAAGGGGTAAAAGAGAGAGAGAGAGAGGGGAGGGGGGGGGGGTGAAATTCCTCTAAATAACAGGGAATCCTGGGTTCAGATGAAAAAATGATCTAACTTTCAAGTGGGTTTTGTTTTACGCAGTGAAAGTTGTGAATCCGTTTTACAACTACTCAAAATACACAATAAGAGAAGTAGAAAGAGTTCCCCATTTGCTCGATATCTTCATTGTGTTTGTCTGACACTCTGAGCTTCCTGCTTCCAAAAGGAGCTTCTCTAATTAGAGAAACATTTCTTCTCCATCACTGCGTTATTGCGATTTTGTGACAAGCGAACAGAAAAGTGGAGGTGAAAAACGGTGCATGGTTTGAAAAATGTGGCATGGATCCATAGTCAAAGTGAAAACTTTGTAGAACCAGCTTTGTTCTGTATTCACAGCTGCAGATCTGCTATACAGCTCTTATAGCTTAATTTGAAATGTTTTTTAGGGACGTATCGATTCAAAAAATTTGGGCCGATATCAATGTATGATACTAATGCAGCTGTTATGGCCAATAACCAATATCAACCATAACAGAGGGGGATTGATAATATCACATTGCCAATTCCCCTCCCCCATAAATACATTCACAAATATAAACATGATCATTAATATTGAACCAGTTTTACTGATCGGACCAATGCTGGTATGTTTAAAAAATAACTAAAATCAGCTGATGCCAATATGTCATGCATCCCTATTCATTTTTTGCTCATTATTTGATTAAAGTTTTTTTTTTTTTTGCAAGATAACTATCCGAGTCAAACTGCATTGTGCCCAATATTGAAGTCACACTTCCACTTCTCAACTGAATTTTAAGTAGGACGTCCAATCAAGACGTAATCCTTTGGCTCCACGGTTATGGCAATAGTGTTTAAAGTTGGCCCATTGTATAAAATCCCAGTGAAACTCACTGTGTAGCAAAAGGAAGACCCACCTGTTGAGAAGACGTCCGCAGCGATAGCCATGAAGGCGTCGGACACCACGCCCTCCACCGCCACCGTGATGTTCAGCTGCCGGGCCACGTTGCGGTAAACGTTGGGACGGAGGTACTCCAACTCGTCACCTGGCCGGAACAGAGCAATCTGAATTCAGTCGGCCCGTCCTCTCACCGCCTGACACACAGGTAACGTTGGATTTCACAACATATGCAGATGATTTTTTTATTTAAGTTGTAAAGTTGTCTTTTTTCAAGTTGTCTTTTTTTTGTAAACATTTACAAGACTGATTTCTTTGTTTTCCCAGTTTTAAATCCCTTTTTTCAGTTTTGAAACTTCTTTTCAGTTTTTCCTTTTGAACAAACTTTATGGTCCCAATTTAGCTCCATATGAATGACTCTGTCACAGACCTGCATCACCAGCCTGTTTCATTATTATACCAACTCAGCTTGGTATAAAACGTAGCCAATGCTGTTGGTCCTGATCCTCTTCACAAACCGTTTCATTTTATTGCTGCCAGATTTTCCTGAAATCGATGGGATTTCTTCACCTCACAGAAAACAAGTAAACAACATTACAGGAGGAAATTGGCTAAAAATAAAGTGGAAAAACACGTTAGTGATCAGTCGCCCAATGGGTTGTCACCAGAGGCGTTCTTTAGGATGAGCCATTTCATCGTGATCAAGCACTGAATCACACAAACTGTAGAGGAAATAGAAAAACTAACCACTGCTCACTGTTCTATGGGAGAGAAAAAATGAGTAAATGGGTTTGCAAGATGAGGAATTGAAATGTATAAGTGTAGTTTGTTCAGGGGATTGCAGTCCATACAGTCTACCTGCTTTAAAGGCAGATTCAGGTGAAGGACTGACTCCAAGACGTCCGTGCAGCTGCAGGCCGAGCCGCCTGGAGCGTCTGAGCGATCAGGTGAGCAGCAGTCGAGGAACATGTGACCGACCGAAGGAAGGACGCCGGGAACACACCTCGGTTAATTATCCACTTCAAGCACGCGGCGAATCAATGTGTATGTTCTCGCCGTTCATCGGCTCACCGTATTCCTCATCCTGCTGAGAGGCTGAGATGACGTATTTACTATGAACGTCGGAGCAGTGCTCATCTCCAACACTTATGTTACAGGCAGAAGAGTGAAGGTGTTTGAAGACGGTTCAAGTTTTCCACCAAAGTCTGATTCCCGGCACTAACCATGATTCACACACGCAAGTGAGTTTCCTGCCCTGAAACGGAGGTGGAGTCATAACGAAAAAATGTAAAGCAACACCTTAACCAGAAACAAACTGGTCCGCTGTGTTTTTGTCTGCATTGGGAAAACGACTCCTGAAGAGAAAGGATTGCATCAAGAGAGAGATTCCCCTGAAGGGGTTTCACTGGAAACTCAACGAAGGAGTTCAGTTGTGTTTCAGTCTGCACATTGATCCACATTGACTGAAACACAACTGGATTCTACTGGACTGTATTCACCAGACCTGCCTACGCCGATGTCGCCCTTTTTCTGTTGATTCTTTGAAAAAGGGGAACGCAACATGAACGATTAGTGTGAAAAAACAACAACATAACAAAACATTGTCCTCTGCGTTTTGCTTCTATTATCTAACTAATAAAAATGTGGTATCTGCTGATCCAGCTGTGGTCATTTTTAGCTTTAATTAACTTAAACTGGACCTTATTTAAGAACAATTAGTGTAAATTTAGGGGAAATCGTTACAAGTCCCTCATCTTGTGACTTTTGTCTCTCTGGTCCAAAAGTGTCTGAGGTGAAAACATGTGAGCTCAGCAACTCAGCAGAGGAAAAACAAACCATCGGTGTGGAGGGGAAGTTTTTTTTTTTTTTGTTTTTGGTTTTTTTTTTTGCAGGTGAGATGAGGTCAGACAGAGGACCAATCGGGGAGCTCAAATTTTATAACCAACGACGATATAAATGATTAGTTGCCTCTGCACATTGATCCAGGTGGCATTTCTTATCTCTGCACCAAAAACCTCTGGGTTATGTTCACACTGGTCACCTGGCGGGACTGGAGTCCAGAACAAGATTTCAAATCAGAAAACGGAACCAGAAGCTCCTCCAGTCGAGTTTGTTCACGTGACAGACAGATGCCTGAAATGGTTTAGTGTTTGTGCGTTTAGACGTGATTGTTCCATTTGACTACTTTTATTCAAAGTGGTGTTTTGCTACATGACGGATTTCAATATGAATGTTGGGGAAAGGAGCGTTTGCAGCTGCAGCGCTCACTCACTGGATCATTTATGTTGTACACTGTCAACATTTATGCTTTGTCTATTTGATAATAAATAGGCAAAGCCAAAATGGCATGATATTTTTATATAGTGCGCTGCTGACATGTTCACTGCATAAACAGGACAATATGAGTTTATAGAAGGACTTTCTGCAGGGTTCAGGTTTGTTGGCTTTTTTCCAAACAACTGAGACTAGATTTCATCTTTTTCCTCTTGCTTTATTTATTTATTTATTTTTGGTGTTATTTTTCTCCACACGCCTATTTCGAGTTTTAATATAGTTTTCTTCCAGAATGAAAGATTGTTGTGAAAAGTTTTCCTAAGCAACTCGGTCCTAATCTAATTTTCAAGGCATAAATATGATCCACCATATTGGATCCAGTTCTATCAGCTGGATTTCTGCAGATGGATCCCGACCCAAAACTTCGGTGGGAAGCGCGACGGACTCACCCAGCCACTGGACCACCAGGGACACCTCCGCCAGCTTCCCTCCCGCCACCGCCACTCCCTGCTCGGGTCTGGACCAGCCGATCCCGGCGCGGTTCAGCCGGGAGTGGATGTAGTCCCTGCACAGCGCCTTGGCCTGGGACACCAGCTCCTTGTCGGTGGGCGACCGGTCGAACACCTCGGCCGCAAACACGGAGGAGCGCCGCAGCATCTCCATGTCCCGAAGCGTCACAGCCGCCGCTCCGCCTGCGCGGCTTCAGCAGATCACCGCTCCGCCGCGCCGCGCCGCCCGCGCCGCGGCTCTCCTGCTGCTATTATCAGATACAGACTTGCGGAGATTATCCCGCAGGACAAACACGCGGATTAGGTTGTGGGTTGATAGCCTGGATGAAGCTAACAGGGACGGTCCAAACCAATCTGAGTTTACAGAGAGAATAAGAAATTATTTTTTTTTTTAAAAAGAAGAAACGGCAGGAAAAAGTTCTGAATTAATCAATGAAGGCGATTTCATATTCAAACACGCTGCACGTGTAAAAAACAAAACAAAAACAAAAACGGAGTCCAACTGTATTATGAAAGAATAATAATGAATTTAAAAAATCTTGTAGCGGAGCAGAGAAGTGAATCTAATGACGGAGTTTTTGTTTTTGTTGGCTTTAAGCTGGGGAGCAGGAGCCAAAAAAATAAAACAACAACAAATTTAATAAATAAATAAATAAAAATGCTTGCCTGTTCGCAGACTGACGGGCTTTCCTTCTAAGGGCAGTTATTGTGGAGACCAAAGGCGGAGAGAAGCAGCAACTGTAAGCCCCGCCCATCCGAACCTCCACACACACGCGCACACGCACGCGCGCACGCACACACACCCACCCACACACAAACTCGTTGATCATCGACTAGCTTTATGACAGGTGGAGGCCACTCACTGTTAGTTTCCCTTTTGCCTAATAAGATTTAAGTTTCTGCTTCCTGATCAGGGCCTTTCATAATTTTCTCCTCCACTTTGTTGCAGTTTTCTTTCAGAGTCCTCGACTGCATGGGTTGCAGTCAGTCTCACGTTTTCTCCACCTGGGTCAATATCATAACAGTTAGCCGCTTTATCCCAGTGTCACTGGATTCCACATGAAGCGGTGCAGCCATCTGCACTGACCTCGTTGTCCAAGACTCAGCTAATGAGGTTTTCGTGCAGCCTCATCGTTTGGAAGGACAACATGCTCCAGTCTGGCTGTGATTGCATCCACACCCTCTTCACGCCGCAGCAGAAACCTGTTGGAGCAGGTCCTCTCCCTGGCAGCACTGCTGCTTCTGGGGGAAAGCCACTTCCTCCGGCTCGCCGCTGTCAGGACATGCCAGAGGAATGCCCTGCTTTTGTTTACGAGTCGCTGACATCAGATGCGGAGCAGCCCTGACAGTCCAATGGGGGCAAAGTTCAGCTGTAACTGGAAGATCATTCACAGAAGAATATCTTATGGTGGATGCAGCAGCAGGGCCTCGCTTCTGTCATAAAATGAGACCATGATGTGTCATCTCAACACCTTACTCAGCTTACATTATGACATTCATCTTGTTATTGAAAAACAAGCAACTACAGGAAGGAGCTACACTCAGAGTAAATGTTATGGAACTGCACACACATCAGGCTTGTCCTGCAGGAGCTTCTGGACTTGCGCTAATCCTGATGCAAGGTTCCACAGTATTGTACTGAATACAGATCACGCCATCGCAAAGGTAGTCAATGAAAGTTAAACTTATTTCTCCCAAAAGAATCTGAAGAGGTGATGCTGAAGCGTCAAGACGCTGAGAGCATCACTGACGGAGCTGCAAGAGAATCCAACAGGTTGCGTTCCGCGTGTGGCAAACTCAACTCAGCAATATTCTGTTCCAATGGTGAATTATACGTTCATGGTTTTCCTGAAATGATGAGTTCTTTCTCCATCATTACCACATTCAGCCGCGCAGTCACGAGCTTGATTGACAGCGCCAAGAGCCTCCTGCAGGCTCTGATTGGTTGTTTTTGACTACTTGCGGTGCATTTTTTTCAGAAGGCAGTGGTGGCAACTGGAGCAGCTCAGAGATCCTCAGTCTCATAACACACGGATGCAACATGGTAATTGTTTTAGAAAATATGTAAGAAAACATTTTTTAAATAAAAGTTACACACTGCAGCCAAGACAAAAACCAAACAAGAAAAAAAAAACGACTCAAGAATCAGTCAAATTCAGTTTTATTTGTTATGTTTTCAATGGAATAATATGAAGTCTACATGAGGGCATTCAGAAACACCGCTGACGACAATAAATAGGTGAGACCTGGGCAACAGGTTCATACACATGCAAAAATGACTAGCGGGCAGGAGATGACCTCCGTCACAGTCTGAGGCCCCAGAGGCAGAGGTGAAAGAGTACATGGATAGTACCTCCTCTCACTCACACACACACACACACACACACACACACACACACACACACACACACACACACACACACACACACACACACACACCACACACACACACACACACACACACACACACACACACACACACACACACACACACACAGAGGATAAAAATTCCAGTCTTCATAGAAAATATAGAAACCAAACAATACCATTATTTCTCTTACCAAACTAAATCAGCTGTTCAGTCAGTCGTACCTCCTTTAAATCAACTCCTGTTTATCTAAAACAGCCTGATAGGAGGAGCTCAACATGTTCTTCAGCTTCATTAGAGGGGAAAACCTTCACACTTAGATAACCCTGCACAGTATGCTGCTGAGATGTTGTTATCCGTATGTAAACTAAAACAGGTTAGATTTCATTAGTCGATAGCTCTGAGAGAAATATAGCACCTAATTGACAATAATGCATCTTAATCTGGGGCATAAAGCAGAACATCTACCCTGTAAACAACTGAAACTGTTATTCTGTTAAGAAACAGACACACTTAATGCATCCTCCAATTTCCAGCAATATTAGTCGCACAGTCTGAGTCAGCAGAGCAGCAACCTCCAAGCCTCTCGTCCCCGGCGACAAACTGTTCGACATGACTTTGACTTTCCGCTCGCCCTCACACACGTCTCGGCTCACCCAGAAATACAACGCAGAGCACATCCTAGCTGTAACCTTCATATCCCACATGCCGCGCTTCATCCGCATCCCCAACATGTACCAAGTAAAGCTTCAATCGTCATGCGTGATGACCTTTCAAAAGCAGAAAATGTAAGCCCTGGTCCCATAAAACTGCATTTACCTTCAGTTTGTGTCAAATAAGCAAACTGGGCACTACACATGCAAAAAAGGAAAAAAAAGTCACAAAAATAGATCATAATGTACACATCTCCCTTTCATTATATCCCTTATACTGAGATGTTTGTTATTATTCAAATACCTAATAGGAAAACAAAAATGCACACATATTAAAAAGAAGCTGAAAATACCAACAAGCAATCTGGCAGTATCTTTCAGTCTCCAGTTGTCATTCTTCAAAATCTGAACTTCGAAATAATAATGTGACTTTTCCCAGAGGCCCAGCCTCAGGATGCATAATGCTTCATTTAGCTTCCATTCATCTCCACATGACCACCTTTAGGTATGAGCAGGCTGATCCGGCCCGTGGTGCTCGCTGCACTCTTGATCACCTCCATCCATCTGAAAAACAAACAAACAAATGAAAGAAGAACACAGACATATTTTATTTATACTGCTACTGAAGCTGGGAAAACAGTGCAAAAGTATTCACGTCCCGTTTTCACATTTACGGGATCTCTGATGGTTTCAGCGACTTAAATTTAAGACTTTTTAAGACCACTATGAATGAAATGTAAGTAATTTTCCACAACAAAAACATAGTGACAAGGTTTTTTTTTGTTTCGCACAGAATGCACCAAGCATGGTAATGCACCTAGTCGTGCTATGGCAAAGACTAATGTCATCCAGCTAATTGCAGATAAATTAACTTACCCATGATAGTCGCTAAAAAGTTAGCTATGTAACTAGAAAGGGTTTATTAGCAGCTATATGGAGGAAGCCTCAACCGTAACAAAGCTGTCTCCATGTGACTCAAACTTTCACCGAAAAGAAAAGTTTAACCCAAAACAAATTAACCAAAACATTAAATATTGCACAACTAAATTTAAGACCAGTGGTCAATGTAGTTAAGGCCAACTCACATGTTTTCTAATTAACTTAAGATACTTTAAGGCCATTATGACTGGAATTTAAAACCTTTTTCACGACAGGAATGTTCAAAGGAAAACTGCATATTTTAAATAGTAGCGCCAAATGTTTGGGCACAGAATGAATGAATTTAAGACATCTTAAGGCCTTCATTTTAGACGCATGGATTTAAGGCTATTTGAGGATATGCAGATACCCCAATTTAACTGGGATTTCTTTTTCCCCAGAAGTTTTTTTTGGCTTCTTTGTTTTGATTTATGTCATAAAATCCTAGCAAAAGACATTATTACTGTGGTGGCAACTGTGAATATGTCTGATGTAAGCGAAACGAACCGGGCGACGAACCTCTCAAAGGTGTACTCGCTCTCGGCTCTGAAGAAGTAGACGTGCGACTTGAACTGCAGCTTGAAGACGTACTCCTTGTGAATGCTGTCCGACTCGTCGGGGGTGCTGACCGTGTAGCCGAGCAGCGGCAGGCTGGCCAGGGGGAAGTCGTCCTGCGGCAAACATAAAAGCAGTTCCGTTGTTTGTCTGTTTTCATGCGCCAGGAGCAGCACACGGGAGGATCGGCGGACGTTCGGGCCCACCTGGTGGGTCTTGTAGAAGAACAGGCAGAAGTTGGTGAAGACGACCCAGAGTTTCTGCCAGCCGTTGCTGTTCTTAAACTTCCTCAGCAGGTATCCTGACAGCTGGTTCTGACACACAGAGAAACAGAAGGTTGTTCAGACGCTGGCAGCTGGATTCAAGGTTTAATACATGTCTAGTTCTGTGTCACTCAGGGTGATGAAAGGGTTTTACTGCATGCTGTGATTTTTAAATGACAAAATGATTTAGGAACAGAGTGAAGTTTGCTTCATGCACATGAAAAACTGTTTTTAAATCTCTAATGAGTTAAGTTGGGAAAAAATCTTATTTTCTGGAATATAAACTTAAAGTCACATGATGGTTTCATTTTATAATCTACTTGTAAGGTCAGGAAGTTAGTTATTTGAAATGTGCTAAAATAGAATAAAGGAGATCTGTAAGCATTTCCTTAAGAAATAACATTTATTTAAGAAATTTTCATAATCCAGTCTCCAGGGTCTGAAGATGCAAAACCTACAGCCACAAACCGGAACCCTTAATAAAGATTTGTATAAAACAATAGAAATTTACGGTTGTATGGAGACCTAATCTGAAAAAAAGTTCAGATTACATAATTTACACATTAAGCAGTACATAGTAAGCCCAACAGAATAAAACCTTCATAGAGGCAAATAAGGTGATGAACAAAGACATCTGAGCTCCAATTTGCCAACTTTTGGTGTTTTAATTATTGCTCTGCCTGTAGATATTGGCATGTCCGGGTGATTAGCCTTTTTCTTTAAGACATTTACTGATTTATAAAAATCTGCTCTATTAGAATGATATGTGCTTTTGTTTGTCCTGTTTTGAAGAATGATCATTTATTGGGACGTTCAGCAATACCAGTAACTGTGGTGGTTTTGAAAAGAAAATAGAAACAAAATTCTTCTTTTCCAAATTGAATAAGTTTTTTACATTTTTATCTTTATTGCAATAAAAAAATAAGTAATATTTTTTCAGAGTTGTTCTAAGATTAATGTTTGGTAGATGTGACATAACTATATATCATTTATTTTTATTTTAATTGACCAATAGAATTTTTTTTCAAATGAAAGGTTTTCCCTATTATTATTCACAGAGTTTGCAGGTCGTTCTTTTCTGACCTTTGTTTCCATTTTAGAGTTGATTTCATGTGATTTTTTGCCAGGTTACTGGTATTAAAGCTCCTGGTTCTGGTACCTGATTCATGCGCAGGTAATCATTGAGAGAGAGGTTCTGGTTTCTGTACCAGCAAACATGCGTGATGGTGTTTGGTCTTTGTCCCTGACCGAGGAGATAGCGCGGAGGAAGCTCCGGCGACACGGCCGGAGAGCCGAAGACTGGAAGTGTGAGAGAGAGAAAGAGAAGAAAAGGGTGCAGAGAAAAGGTTCAGCGTGTTAGTTAAGATAAGGAAGTCAGGAGGAAATGTGAGTCAGGCAAAGTCCAGATCTGTGGAATGAAAACTCGTCAGACGATGTTTTCTGGCATGCAATATAATGAAGGGGAGCAGAAGGTGAC